GTTGAAGGGGCTTGTCAAGGAACTTGGAATCAAGCAAGATGGAATGAAGCTGTACTGTGATAGTCAGAGTGCCATCTTCCTAGCTAAGAGTCAGATTTATCATGCAAGAACCAAACACATTGACGTGAGATTTCATAAGATAAGAGAGTTGGTTACTTCAGGAGAGCTGTTGTTAGAGAAGGTGCATACCTCAGAAAATGCAGCAGACATGATGACAAAGCCAATCACAATGGATAAGTTCAAGCATTGTTTGAACTTGATTAACATCTCTAACTGTTAGAGAAGATGTGTCCCAACCCATTGGTCCTAGATGGTGTGATTTTTTCCAGGTTATGTTTTTTCTCCTAAGGGATGAATATTCGACAAGGTGGAGATTGTTGTACATGTGGCTCATATAGAGTGGAACACAGGCCCTGGATCAAATGGGCCGATGTTGGCGCGGAGTGGAGCGCATTGAACGGCATTGGCCTTGCGCAGGTTTAATTCACTGTCTGGTTGTTAGGGATGCTGAATGGGTTGGAGGTGCCCCCGCGGTACGGTACAGGGGTATTTTCTGTACGGGCCTTAAAGTTTTATATGGGTCCAGATTAGGGTTAGTATAAATAATATGTTGTAACCCTATTTTTCATAACAGAATAAAGAAATCTCCGCTTCGCTCTCGTGGACGTAGGCACATCGCCGAACCACGTAAAATTCTTGTGTTGATTTCCGTTTTTCATCTCTTTAATATTGCGCATAAAATCCAACACATTCAGATCTTGCTAGTGAGTTATGGATTCATTTTGGATATATCTTCTTAATGTTAACCAGTTCGAACTACGAAAGCACCAAAGTATTGATCAAATAGTAATTTCACTCTTCAATGCTTCAGACTTCGTGTCATGACCTTGAGTTCATTAGTCACCTAGAATTAAAATGGGGAAATTAGATTAATATAATGGGCCTTGTGCTAAATTGAATTTCACTCAGACCTGTCCAATTCATCCAGAATGTGCTAGTGCTTTCACTTAGAAAACCATTTACCCGACTGTGAAGTTGGACCTTATAAAATAAAAGAAGTGCTAATTATTATTCATTGGTCATAACTTGGTCCCATCCAATCCATTTAGAATGTGTTAATGTCTCCTAAACACTAGTATGGTTGAGAGAAACCATTCACCCAATTGTGTTGTGAACAAGTAGACAACAATATGACCTTACATAATAAAGTGCCCAACTTTAGTCATTAGACATGGACTGATATTTTAGGCTATTGTTTATAAATTATATTTTCCGAACAGATCGTTTTGTGCATAACTTGTAATGTCAAGCATAGCTGAGAGACCCTCATGTTTTTTGCCAATAAAGAAGTACATTAAAGAAAAATAAAAATGAATAAATGTTGTGTATTTATTATCAGAATTACTCAAGTAAAGAATTAGCACTTTCAGACCTAACATAATATTTTCTAATAGTATGGTATGTCTGCATTGGTATGATCGCACTGTTCTAGTTAAAAATAATTGATACTTAAAGATCTTTACTTCAAAGCCTCTTCCAATCTTCATTTCATACTTAGGTATGCTGTCACATTGCACATTTTTGACCAGATATTCTTAAAATATCTCTAAGTTTTAGATGTTGAATGGGTTTGACATACAATATATGCATTTGTACGGGAAATTCATATATTTATTTTTATTATAGAGTAATTTATCATTACTGATCGGGATTTAACATTTAACAAAGGTATGGAATCTATACATTTTCAACGGTCCCCTTTTCGGGTGACACTTAATTTGTCTTTGTTCATGGAGATAAATATTTTGAGTTTCAAAACTTACATGTTTCAAATTTTTTACAGGCTGTTTGGCACGGCTTTTGAAATGCGAAAAAGGCTTTTAAGACTAAGCTCGTGTTGTTTATAAAAAATCAAGCTATTTTTTATTCAAATATTTTGAGGAATCTAAAAGTGTACATCCATTTTATCCTTAACTAACTTCTATGTATTTATAATTTAAACCTTTCGTAAACACTTTGTAAACATATAAGAAATTAGTCTTGTGATAAGAAAAAGCTACTGGATGTAGGTGGCCCAAGGTTGCTTCCTTTGAAAACTCTTCTACAAACTACAGAAGTTTCCAAAGGGACCTTTTCCAGTTTTGAAGAAACTGTTGATTTGCATACTTAGCCCCCGTTTGGCTCCCATTCTTTTCAAATTTTAATGGTTGAAATCCCATTCTTTTCAAATTTTAATGGTTGAAATAGTATTTTTTTGAAAAATGTGCGGTTGAAAAAGAATGAAATTTTTTTGATTTACGTATAATATTATTTTATGGAAGATCGTGTGGTTGAAAATAAGAGAGAGAAAAAGAATGAGAAGGAGAATGAGGGCCAAATGGGGGCTTAATAAGACGGAAATGATTGAAAAATAAATATGATTTGTGTAATCTTGAAAATTTGAATACATAACAAATACTATATCCATATGCTATGTGTCTCGAAAATGATTGAAGAATAAATATGATTTTATGTAATCTTTAAAACTCAAAATACATAAAAATAAAAAAAATACTACATCCACATGCCATGTGTTTCATTATCCTTGATGCATAAATGAAAATGATTAAAGATGTATAATGTGGTTATGTTTTGGTGGTTTTAGTCATAGATTATCTCGTGTATGCCATATATATTTTATGTCCCTCATTACCATCAGACGCTATTGCGCACACTTGCTGAACTTTCAACTTTCAGCTCCTCTGAGCCTTGTCCTCTATTAAGTAATCGAAGTTTGATTCCAGTGTTTCCTCTGACCGTAACTATCTGATTTCTTAGTAGGTGCTGATTTATGTGAATTTATGTTGTTCCAAAATGCTGTTTCTTTTCGTTGGTAGTATCTAACATTAAAAAGACATAATAGACATGTTAAACAGTAATTTCTTGTTTTACGTTCATTGTAGTCCCTTTTTTCTTTTTTTCTTTTTTGGTTAAGATATTTTTCTAGTATTGTGGTCTGAAGCTTATAAATTTGATATATTTTATTGCTCTCAGAAACCTGGTGGCATTATTTCTCTTCTTGATGAAGCTTGGTATGTACATAACTGTGATTTATATTTTCTTTCTAGGAAATGTTAAAATCTGTCTGTTATGTTCTTTTATATTTGTCGGATTTCTTATTATGCTTATTCTTTATAGCATGTTTCCAAGATCTACACACGAGACATTTGCAGAAAAGCTATACCAGACATTCAAAGATCACAAACGCTTTAGCAAGCCAAAGTTCTCACGGACTGGGTTCACCATTTGCCATTATGCTGGTGACGTATGTAAATACTTAAGTATTCCATAATATACTGGCACTGTATTGCAGTATTTAACAAGAAAAATGCCCCTTGCTGCTTAAGTTGAGTTTCACAGATAAGGCTTTGATTTCAGGTCAATTATCAAACTGAATTATTTTTGGATAAGAACAAAGACTATGTCATTGGAGAACATCAAGCCCTCCTTAGTGCTTCAAGTTGCCCCTTTGTGTCTGGCCTTTTCCCACCTTTATCTGAGGAATCTTCTAAAACATCAAAGTTCTCTTCCATTGGTTCTCAATTCAAGGTTCATTTCATTCGTTATATTTGTTCAACGCCAGAAGGTTTGTTATTTACCTCCTCCAGATTTATCTCCATTTCATTTACTTTACAGCAACAATTGCAAGCTCTGCTTGAGACACTCAGTGCTACAGAGCCACACTACATTCGTTGTGTGAAGCCTAACAATCTTTTAAAGCCTGCCATCTTTGAGAATTCTAATGTGCTGCAGCAACTTAGATGTGGGGTTAGTTTCTCTATTTAATTTTTTCTTAACTCGCGTTGAATCGGTTTTTGATACAATTGTTATGTTTGTAACCGGATGTTGCATTTCCAAGCATTCTGAACACAATTTTATTTCTTTCTAGGGAGTTATGGAGGCAATCAGGATTAGTTGTGCTAGATATCCCACTCGGAAAACATTTGACGAATTCATAAGTCGTTTCAAAATCCTCTATCCTAGTAGTGTAAGGTAATTCCATTAGCCGTTGTTATTTTCAATATGATGAGTTCTCTCCCACGATTTTCAAAATTTTCAGCTTCCCAGCTGCACGCCTTTCTCAGATTAGAAATATTTCTATTACTAGCATGGGTTGTTTGACTTGATGTGTGATGTCTGTGACCCCTACACCCTAAGAATTTCATATGTTGCTTGTTATACATTATAGGTATTGACTTCATAAATACTCGAGTACTTGTTCCGAGAACAATGTCAAACGGAGTAGCGCATATATTATACGTATTTATCTGCATTAAATTTGAAAATCTAGGCATGTTTCTCCGTGCCTGACTTGGCACTCTATTTTTCTCATGATATTTTTATTTATTTTTTTATTTAAATTATCCATTTTCAAATCAATTAGTATTTGACTAGAAAGAGCCATCCGAGTTCATATGGTTAACTTAGAAGGGGACATTTAACTGATGTTTCATAAGATTGCATCCGATTGCAAGTGGAGAGATAAAAACAAGGCGCGGATGTGGAACAACCAAGAATAAGGTGCAATAACAAAAAAGGGGAAACCCAAGTAAACGAATGAAATGGATATAAATAAGGCTTGTCCTATTGATACTACATCAAAAGGTCCAATAGTAGCACAGACAAGGCGAAACATGAGGAAATGATTGAAGCAGATGTAAATGAGGGTTTTGCAATATATTACCAATCTTAGGTCTGATACTACATCAAAAGCATGCCCACGCATACATGCTAGATGGCGAAATTAAATTAAACTGGTGTGGTAATTTTATATTTTCTTAACCCTTTTGTTCTCTCCTTCAAATCACCACTCAATGCTGCCGCCTCACTCTATTCCTCAATCACTCTCTCTATATGACATGAAACACAAATATGAAACAATATTGATAAAGTAATGCCTACAACATGAGAAGATGGAAATTGTATGTTCATGAACTTGGGTTTTACAAAATCTTTATTTTATATTACAAAATGGGAAGTTACGTACTTATGTAATGCATGCTGTTACAAAATGAATGAGTAGTGCAAATATATTTGTACGTATTATCATTAATACTTAACTTTGCAATGATATAGTTATGTTTGCCTATGTGATCTTTATATTAATTTGCACATTCATATTTTTCACTATGTTTATGACTTACAAACACATTGCATTGCTATATTTTGCATCATTATCAAGTAATTTGAGGTTGATTTGGTTAAAAGATCTTACACATGGTAAAGATGATTGGAAAATGTATCAATAATTTACTCTATACTTTAGGTAGGATAGAGGATGGAGAATCCATTCAACTAATGTAACAACAGAAATTAATGTTTTGATATTATAGTTTTCCAGGATTTTAACTCTTAAGTACTGACATGTATTTTCAAATTAAAAATTAAGAATTTTTCTTCATTAGCTATGTATAAGATGAACGAGATACAAACCTCTTTTTATAACTATGGTAGAAAATTATATCCAAAACTACTAGGATGGCAATTAACATAAGTACAACAGGTCTATGTGTCTATATGCTAAAGAAACAGTTTAAGCTTACTTCCTATTCAAACTCCAATTGCTTAAGTTTCCTTAGATCCCTTCTATCTTCATTTCGCTATAATATTTTTTCTTATACATTTTGATAGTTGCGATGAAGTCATTGCTTGTAGAGGACTTTTGGAGAAGGCTGGCCTAAAAGGGTATCAGGTATTTTTCATTTATTCCATATTTTCTGGTCAGTTCTCTCATTAACATTTAAATAGTACTTGCATAACTTTGAGTTTGTGTTAGAGAAGTGGGCATTTTGCATGCTAAGAGAGTAAGAGGAATAGGGCACCTATACTATATTGTGTATGGATGATTAGCTACTTTTTCTCAGTACACTTGACCCGGCATGGTCTCATTTTTAGTTAGTACACAAGGTTGAGCCCTGAGTACATTGACATGGAGTATCATTACTATTTTCTCACTAGTTATTTGTGCCTCAATTTCATTTCCAAATATTTTCTTGCTCATGAAAATTGCCAAATTGTATAGACATTTGCCCAAGCACAATAGTAACAAATTTGCTGAAAGACTCGTTGCATGTCCGCTACTTGTCCCTTCTGTGTCAAAAACACTTGTTATGCAGATCAGTTTCTCTGATAATTCTCTTTCCAGCCTCCAGAAGTGCTCTGAACCTTTCACATATGTATAGAACAGCGACCAGGTTATTATGCCTTTTATCCTCAAACAAAGTTCTGGCGCCTCTTATTTGCCTCAGAATGAAGTAATGGCCTTCTTATTGGTTCATTCTGTACTGATGGGGGAGTTCTCATTAGGCTTTTGACTGAATATCCATTTTGTTTTTAATAAATGCTGATCACTTGTATTTGTTGAACGATCTGAGGCACTATTCATGCTGATCATGTATTGTTGCAGATTGGTAAAACAAAAGTATTTTTAAGAGTTGGTCAGATGGCAGAATTAGATGCTACTCGAGCTGAGGTCCTTGGAAAATCTGCATGCATTATCCAGCGAAAAGTTCGTTCACATTCAGCTCGCAAAAATTTCATCTCATTACGTACTTCTGCTGTACAAATGCAATCTTGGTGTAGAGGTATGGCTAATGTATAATGGGTTTGTTTTTATTATCCTAGTGTTGTGAATATATGAGATTATATTCCAAGTGACCATATTTGTAATGTATCTGTTTATTAATGGCTTCTTTGTAATAATAGGACAAGTTGCACGCCAACATTATGAACAAAAAAGACAAGAGGCTGCTGCTTCAACGATTCAGAAAGATTTGCGCATGTTTCTTTCTAGGAAAGCTTATGCATTATTGGTCTCTTCTGCTCTTTTCCTTCAGGCGGGAATGCGTGGAATGGCTGCCCGCAGACTGCTTCAATTTAGAAGGCAAAAAATAGCAGCCATCTTCATTCAGGTAATTTTCATATAAAAACCAGGTTCCGTTAACACAGGTGTCCTTTCTTTTTACTCTCTTACATTAATAAAATTTAAATTTAGTTGATCTTACTGAAGGTACTCCAGCTTTCTTAATAGAGAATCTATATTATCTGAGATCATCGTTATCAGATCAAAGCTGCACGCTGTTTGACATCTGCTGTTAGTTAACCTGAGTTCACTTAGCTGTTTTACTAAATTGCTATATCCTCTGATATGTGGAAGTAGCTGTTATGCCTATATGTTCACCGGACTTCCTTATAATTACTCAATATCCAGAGAAGTGAACAAACATTTGCTCATCTACCAGACAAAATATGCTGATTTTATATCAAGTTGTGCATTAGTCTGTAACTATTTTTCTTCAGACCATCTTTAAAGTGGATAGATCTGGATTTCGAGTCTGTATGACATCATTTTGTGCTGCTGAACACTCTTGATATGTTAAGTCCAATGGCTTTGGCGGCAACCCTTACGATTCACTGTTTTTTTGCCAATATGTCCTAGACCTTGCACACCTTGGCTTTATCCTTCTCAACAGATAATGAACACATAGCCGTGTGCATACGTTATTAGTCAATCGATATATTTTCACGATGAAGCAAATTCCTTTTCAATTTCCATGTCTAATATTGAACTTTTCTGTATAAAAATGTCCCTCTTTAATATGATGGAATTTATTCCAGAGTCATTGCCAAGGATACTTGACCTGCCGCAAGTATTTGAGGTTGAAGAAAGCAGCAGTTACTTTCCAATGTGCCTGGAGAGCAAGAATGGCTCGTAAAGAACTACATAAGCTTAAAATGGTGAGAGTTTCTCCTTTTAACTGTATTTTCTTCAACAAATTGCTGGTGAAGTTACAATAGTTAGCTCTTTAAGGTTATCAATCTTTGAGTTAGAATGATAATGCCTTGATGCTTGTTTCCCTGAGGTGCCTGTTCTAAGATTGAATCCACACGTGCATGCTTGATGAAATATTTATCTACTTCACCTAGCAATTGTTTAGGTGTTTTGCTTTACCATAATGAGTTATATGAACTACGAATGCTTGCTTGCTTCAGTTAAATGTAATGTGATTTTCTTACTTCTCTTAAATAAACGAGTATTCAGGCTGGTGTGTTATGTGAAATTTATTGCTCAATATTTTCTAAACACTACAAGTTGTGAAGTTTTGAAGAGCCCATGTTTTTGCAAAGTATATAAGCTTTCTACTTGAATCATCAAATGCTTATATTACCATAAAAAAGTGACTATGTGCCTTAATTCAGGCTGCTAAGGAAACTGGTGCACTACAAGCTGCTAAAAGCAAGCTGGAAAAGGAAGTTGAAGAATTAACTTGGCAACTGCAGCTTGAGAAAGGCATGAGGGTAATATCTTTGTATTAGATCTATGTTAGATTTGCCTTTCTTGTACTAAATATCTCGCTCTCAGTACATATCTGCCACTGTTGAACAAAAGTGTATAAATGGTTATGCATCTTTTCATATACTGGGCATGTTAAAGTACGATTATGAAATTTTTTTTCGACATCATGTTCCTCTAATTAAAGGATGACTCTCTAGGCTGACATTGAGGATGCCAGAACTCAGGAAAATTTAGAACTACAAATTGCTTTGGAGGAAATGCGAATTCAGTTTCTTGAAACCAAAGAACTACTGATAAAGGAACGTAAAGCTATGAAGAAGTTGGCTGAGCAAGTTCCTGTTATACAACAGGTACCTGATGTACAAGAGGTTTCTGGTGTACAGGAGGTCTCTGCTGTACAAAAGGTCCCTGCTGTACAAGAGGCCCCCGTTGTTGATCAGGAACTGGTCAATAAGCTAACATCTGAAAATGAGAAGCTTAAGGTTTGTTCTCGAAATTCAAGAATCTTCTTTTTATTCTTCTGATGTGTAATTCTCATGTTGAAATATGTTTCTTCAGGCTTTAGTAAGTTCATTAGAAAAGAGAATAGATGAAACAGAGAAGAAATATGAGGAAACAAGCAAACTTAGTGAGGATCGATTAAGGCAGGCTTTGGAGGCAGAATCAAAGATTATTCAGTTGAAGACTGATATGCAAAGGTTGCTATTATGATAGACTTAAAATCCTCTGATCCATTTTAAAATACCAGTCAGCTTTTTTCAAGGACATTATTGCTTTCGTGCTGATATTTTTTTATTTTTTTCAAGTGCCCACGAGAGTTCTTTCTATCATGTATAATTTCTGAAGCCAGAAAATTCCATTGACTGTGATTGTGTTTTGACTCTGTCTAATTTCAGGCTCGAAGAGAAACTTTTAGATATGGAAACTGAGGACCAGATTCTCCGGCAGCAATCTTTGATAAATTCTGCAGCTGGGAAAATGTCTGGACATTTAAATCCTACAACTCAGGTTAGGACACCTTTGATTATTTCTTCTATTTCTTGTTTCTATTCTTACTTTCTTTTTCTATTAATTGCAGCCTGTAGAGAATGGTCATCAGGTAGTGAAATATATTATATAGTAGCATGCTGATGTTAAATATACTCTGCTATAGTACAGACAAAATTATTGGCTAAACACATTCATGTAGAGCTGTTTGATACAGGAAACTCAGAATGCAACTCTGTTTAAAAGATTTGGCTCTGTATCTGATGACACATTGAGGAGATCCATTATGGAAAGACATCGCGTATGTCATTTTCTCTCAGCTTTGTTGTTTTAATTTCTGTTCTGCGCCTTTTGCCTTCTTTGCCTTCTGAGAGAAGTCGGGTAAACAGTAAACCTGAAACAATCAATTGTGTCCCACAAAACATGCATTTTAGCCTTGAGTCATTTGGTAGGGTATGTTAGATATGCCAAGTGAGACATTTATTTGTGCTTTCAAACAGAAAAATCCACCAACAAATTGAAAAGGTGATAAAAGTCTTAGGCCTTTGATGTTCTTTTAGTTGGCCACTATTTATCTGAAGGATTTAGACTGAATGCAATTGAAATTCAAGGTAGTGGTATTTCCCAAAAATAAACAATTGAAAAGAAAGAATATTTCGGGGATTATTCATCCAAGTTTTCTGTAGTCACTCATTTTAATTATTAAATCTTTTATTCCCATACAATAAAAATGATATTGAAATCCTTGATCATTATATCTCTAGGAAATTCAATAGTAGAGTTGATTTTCAATATTGGTGCCAATCACACAAAACGATGTCTACTGCATCTTTTTGTGGAATTGGTTGGGGAGTGGGACGATAATGTAACAAGATCCTATCTGGACTGAGATGCATCATTGGTGTTATTTGTTCATTTTTCGAATATTGAAATTGTTTGAAAAATGAGAAAAAACTGACAAATACGGAAGGGAAAAAAGGAAGCGATTTAAATGTTTTTCCTCATGTTGTAGCAATTATCCTAAAGTTTGGATTGGAAATCACAGACTGATCTTTTCCCCTGCCTCGTGGATGTTTCCTGATTTTCCAGTACTCGAATTAGCACTTTTAATTTTGAATTTGTCGAACCAAATTTCAGTACCTTGCTTTTCATTCTTGTTGCAGGAGAATATAGATGCTCTTATCAGGTGCATGCCTGAAAATCTTGGGTTCAGTGAAGGAAAACCAGTTGCTGCTTTCACTATATACAAATGTCTTGTTCACTGGAAATCATTTGAAGCCGAAAGAACTAGTGTATTTGATCGTCTTATTCAGATTATAGGTTCTGAAATAGAGGTACCTTTTCTGAAGATATCAGAAACTAGTTATGCTAATGCATGCAGCAATTTTATTGTACACTGCTTGTTCACAATGAAGCAGAAACTTTCTGCTGCATTTTGTAAATTTTACTCAACCCCTGGTTGTAGTATTCAGGATAAAGATGAGTATTGTTTATTAAGGAAAGGAAGATTGTTTAACAAAATTTTCGTTATGCTAAAGTAGTCTTAGGACCTTTAGCAGTTATTTTGTTAAGATGTTTTCCTAATTAGTTTAGGATTTACTTGCTTCTTTATTTTTTTCTAGTTTTAGGTTATACCTTTTGTATGATTCCTTTTCTTTTATTATGAACTAAAATTTCACTTTAATTTGGATTAGGTATGCTAAGGCCTAGGAACATGAAAATACTATAGCTTTTTAATAGCTCTGCACTAATATTGATAGCAATTGAGTCCCTGCAATTCATGTTCTCTGCTTCAGCCTACATCAGCATATTTCTCTTTCTTGCTTTCTTCCTGAAGCAAAGTTACCTCTCTCTCCTATATTGAACTTATCAGATTTTATTGCTAGAGGTTCTGGTTTTCTATCTGTACATAACATTTTGTTGACATATATTCAGTATGACATCCGAAGGATAATGCTTGGTATTGGTCTTAGTGATTTATTCTGTTACAATCACTTGTTTCTGTTCCATTTTCATCTAAAGACAGTCAATTGATTTGTTTTCTATCTCTTAACTCATTCGTTTTACACTTTGAAGTCAAGGGGTTATGATCATTGCTAGAGCTCATCCTTAATAGTTATTTCTTAAAATGAAAAATTTGATTAATGTACTATGTACAACATGAAATTGTTAGTAATGTGCTATTGGTTTTATATCGACGTTGTTATGTTTTCCATTTAACAAAATACCAAAGAGATTGCAATACAATGTATTTTACTCGTCTTATTGACTAAATCAGTATGTCATTCTGTATCGAATTCATTCAACTTTTTGCTTCTTTGCTGTTTGTTGCTTAAATGATTCGGGATGCATTGTATTTTTGCAGAATGAGGCAGACAATAATCACATGGCCTATTGGCTCTCCAACACATCAACGCTCTTGTTTTTGCTTCAGCAAACTCTAAAATCCTCTAGTGCTGGTTCATCAACTCCAAGGAAACCTCCCCAACCAACATCATTTTTTGGAAGGATGGCCCAAGTATGTGGATATTATTTGTTTAATTGTTTTAGTACTGTTATCGAATTGCTGAAAAATGAGTTGGCTTTAAGAATTTAAATATGAATCCGGGCAACTACAAAATAGTAATGATGTGATACTATTTTTTCAGGGATTTCGTTCGTCCTCTTCTTCTGCTAACCTCTCAATTGGCGGACTTGACAAAGTCTGCCAGGTTGAGGCCAAGTATCCTGCTTTGCTTTTTAAGCAGCAGCTGACTGCTTACGTTGAGAAGATCTATGGTATCATTCGAGATAATTCAAAAAAGGACTTGTCATCACTTCTTTCTTCATGTATCCAGGTAGCACTTCCTCGTTTCTAAATTAAATCTTTAATGATCTGTTGTGGTTCTGTATGACGTAGCCTTTTATGTTTTCTTGTCTTTCGTATTTAGATTTTGTATTTTGTGTTTCAGGACTTAAGGAATAAATCATGTAAAATGTTTTTGTATTAGTTGCATTTCAGTAGAGGTTTAGAAGATAAATCACCCTTCAAAGAACTACTTCCCTCCGTCCCATTTATATAAGCTTGTTTTGTTTTTCACACGGATTAAGAACTCTTATTTAATGTTATTAAAAGTTTTTTTGCCAATAACTTGCCTAGTTTACCCTTGTTTATATTTGTACAATTTCAAGATTAAGGGAAAAAATTGGTTATAACTAGACAAATTAAATAAGGGTGTATTAGTAAACGAAAAAAAAAACAAGCTTAATAAAGAAACATGACTATATAATCAGGACAAGAAAATAAGGAAAGTAAGCCTATATAAATGGGATGGAGGGAGTATTTATTTCGAAGCCAATATTTCTAACTATTACCAAAAATGGAAATTTCCTCTCCAGTTCTTTTACTGTTTCTTTTATCAGTAACTTCCAATTTTTTCATTGTTTATACCATATTCAAGAGTTTTGAACTTCATATCTAATGTTTTATATATGGTACTTAATATTTATCTTCCTAACAATTCAGACACCAGGAACGACTACAGAAACAATTCAGGTGCCCAGAACGCCTACAGAAACATTTCAGGCTCCTGGAACGTCAACAGAAACAATTCAAGCACCCGGAACGTCAACAGAAAATTCTTTGCGATCATCTGGTATATCCTTCGACAGTAGATATCCTACCAATGACTGGAAAAGCATCATTGAGAGCCTAAAGGGGACTCTGAGTACTCTGCAAGACAATTTTGTAAGCAATACTAACTATATTAATACCTTGGAAGTTCTATCCACTCCAATCTTACAATGCTTGTTTCAGGTGCCTCCCGTCCTTGTTCAGAGAATATTCACGCAGATCTTTTCTTATATTGACGTCCAGCTTTTTAATAGGTAGCTCTTGTAAAAGCCCTGATATTTTCTTTTTATAATATTACCAGATTTATTTGTGTGGTGTAACATTGTTGCATTTTTCTCAGCCTTCTCCTTCGTAGAGAGTGCTGCACATTTAGCAATGGTGAATATGTAAAAGCAGGTTTAGATGAATTAGAACTTTGGTGTGGACATGCAAAAGAAAAGGTAGACTTTTGGTTTTAGCTGGTTATTGCCATGCATCTATTCCTTTATATTTTTATAGCATTGGTTGTATAAGTTTATGCATTTGGATTACTCATGCTGCAAATTGTAGATTGTCTAACTATGAATCTTGTTTCAGTATGTGGGCTCATCTTGGGATGAATTAAAACATGTACGGCAGGCTGTAGGGTTTCTGGTATGTTTCTTGTTCTCTTGCTGGCAAATAATTTTAAATCACCAGTATTTACTGCAATTTATTGGACATCTGTGATGATTTATCATCAATTGAACTGAAATTGACACATGTTGAACATTGCTGAAGTCTACTTATACTTTTCACTCATGTTGACGAGAATTATACAGCCTGTAGTTTGACTCAAAATCTTACCTCATCTGCAGGTCATACACCAAAAGTTACGAATAACCTATGAAGATCTTACTTCTGACTTGTGCCCTGTAAGCCTGTCCATCTTTGTGTAATATTTTCCTTCTTTTCTTGATTGTCTCATTTTCTTATGTTTCTTCTCTTTACCTGATTCTTTCATCATGTTCCATTCACTCCCTGATAGAGAATAGAATTAGTGCAATTTTTTCTCATCACTTTGAATTCAAAGTAGTGATGAATTCTAGCACTGATAGAAGTACTATTCCTTAACTCAATGCAAGAATAATTCACAGAATTTCTGTAATTTTCTATTTTACTGATATTTTATTATCTTTTGATATTCCCAGATGCTAACAATTCAACAGCTTTATAGAATTTGTACTCTCTACAGGGATGACAATTTTAATACTAGCAGTGTATCTCCAGACGTAAGTTTCCGTTCTTCCAACTGCAAATATGAATTCAAAATTGTATCTCGATTTTCTCCTATATCCCTACATTGGATTTCTACAGATAATCTCTAGCATGAAGAATATCATGATGTTGGACTCTCATGATGCCGATAGCAACTCCTTTTTGTTGGATGATAACTCAAGGTATCGTTGTAAGAGATTTTTTTTCTCGACTCATAAAATTATGTTCATATATTGATTATCTTGTTTTTGCTGCTGCAGCATCCCTTTCTCGGTCGACGATATTAGCAGTTCTCTCCAGGATTCTGATTTTACTGGTGTGAAAGCAGCAGCAGAACTACTTAAACGTCCATCCTTTCAATTTTTACAGGGATGAGGCTCTTCTTTTCTCTAGTCGGGTCAATCCCATAATGCAAATTCACTCCACTATTTGCTAGATAGATTTCTCCATAAATATATCATCGACACTGACCCGGATGTATTACTCGATTAGATTGTAAAATTCATAGGTTTAGTCAAATAGATAGAACGGACAGATGAATATTTTCGACATAGTAGTCCTTCCTCTTGGAGCATTCTTTATAGCAACTAATGACTGAAATAATCTTTGGGAAGCAGTTGTTTCTAGCCTCCCAAATTTCAGTTGTATAAACAAAAATATCTTGTCTCAATAGTAAAAATGTGAATGTTTGGGTTATGCATTTATTAAGTGTAAGATAATCGATTTGATTTGATTTTCTTTTTTAATTGCTGCCTACACTTTGGTTTTCAGTTTGCAGATTTTCTGAACATAAATATTTTCCTTTTATACTTATTCATACTTCAATTTGAGCTGTTGCTTTGGAAGCTGGTTTGTGTATCTGGAGGTGTTGAACTTAGGTTGTGGTGATAAAGTAGATTGGGCTATTGAAGCTTAGGGCACTTTTGGACGTACACTAAGACAAGATCAGTGTTCTAAAAAAGCGCTTAGATGAGAGGCATAGACAAAACGCTTTGCCTCGATAATAAGTGCGAATTAAACGGTCAATTGTTAAGTTGACTGCTTAATGTGCGCCTAGAAGTTCTTTATTATCTTCGTCTTCTTTTTTTTTGTAAAAAATATTTTATTTGATTTTAGTTTATTAACTTTTATTATTATTATTTTTTCTTTTTTTTTTTTCGTTAAAAGGTTTCTATTTGATTTTAGTTTCAAGTTTTTAAATTGTTATATATGTACAAAAATAAAAAATGACTTTATTCGATAAAGATTTAGATAAGATTTATCTATATTATGTAATTATGATTTTGAAAATTTGTTTTGCTAGAAACTTTGAAAGTATGAAAGAAATTCCTATAAACCTGTCTAGTAGGATTTGTTTCATTGAAAGTTGAAAAATATGAAAAGTAGTCTAACTTACACATTTTGAAATTTTGAATTGACTAATTTTAGAAATTATAAAGTAAATGTAGTATTTCATAATTTTAGATATTTGGTATATATTATTTTAATTATTAAATAAATTTTAAAATGATTAAGTATTTAAAATAATAATAAAAACGAACTACCAATATTTAATGTAGGGGTATATTAAAAAAAGGAAGTAAAATTTATAGTTCTAACTATAATAATTAAGTTTTTTAATTTATGTGAAAAGGGCAAAAGGAGAATAATGAAAAACTTAAAAAATTAATAGTTTTAATGTAACACTATTCATTACATCAAATTGCTGGGAAGTTTTAATGTACCATTGGAGATATCCTATTAACCCAAAGCTAAACAATATTGATTTGCCATTTTTTTATTTTTTAACTCAAACCCAAAAAAGAGCAGATCAACATACACCGGTACTAATATTGTGCATGAAACTAACATATAGAAAAATAAATTCAATTGGAAAATATGATAGCTTGATTTTACGATTACGTCATTCATTGTCTGTAATGATACAATTGTGGTTTTACTTGATTTTGTTACGACGGAGAATGTGGTCTCTCCTCATGGCATTCGACTATTTCTTCTGCCGTGTCTTGTTCCAATTCTTCCTAATGGTTGTGTTGAACAAGAAAATCTAGAGTTCCGAGTTATGCTTTTTGAGAAATTTACCATTGATATGACCTTCGGCTATAACCATTTCACAGGCACTCAAAAATAATTTGTGCTCCTTATCGTCCCATTTGACCTTTTTCCTTAATTTTAATTATCATCCTCAGAAATAATAAAGCATTTTCAACATATCTCCACTTTTCTGAAAATATTTTCCAGCTTCTAAATTATGGGAATACTCCTCTCTCTTAAGAAAATGATTAAAAAACTATTCTGTCGAAATTAATTTAATATTTCGACTTCTTTGTGTTGTCTCATGTGAATTTGGGTAGAAGACTCATTTATCTTTAGTAATCCTTACAAAATATCCTTCTAGACTTCATTTGGTATTTTTTTCCATCACCTTGATTCTTAAGCATTATCTCCTCTTGCACAAGCATATTATGCAATTCACGTATTGAGGTTTATTTGTAATTGACCATACTTAGAAGGTGAAGAGTAATTGATAAATTATTCCACGAAATTCTCATCCATAGTCATCCTTGGAGTCTTAAGTCTTGATATAATATTAGACATCTTAATGACATGCTCGTGTACAGTGTGGGAACCATCAAAATTCATGACGGTTAAAGTAGCCATTATTAGTGTTGTAGCAAGTGACTTATCATCATTTTTGAAATGCTCTTCAACAAACTTCATAATTTCCTTAAGCAATTTTCAGTTCTGAGAATAGTAGACTTATATCCTTCTCTAAGGTGAGTTGCATGAACATTAGACCTTGGAATTGGATTTGTTCATCCTAATTAGAGAAATTAAGCCCATTGAACAATGAAACGTAAGAAGCATGTGAATGTGCGGAAACAAGAACAAACACTACGAAATATCAAAATATAAAATGGTAGTACATTAATGCTTTGGACAATTTTAACAATTTTATAATCTATAAACGTCAATGTACTCACAACAATATATAGTATTGATTATGTCATTTTCTTTTATAAGCATCAATCTATCATGAGCAACTGACGTAAAATATGTAATTAAATGGTCATAGTACCATAGGATTTGGCCACTTTGATCACTAACAAACAACATTAATTGAACATTAAATTATGCAACTTTAATTTACATAAAGAAACATTTATACAAATAGTTCATAAAAGCTTTAAAATGAATCAGCAATATTAGTTTATCAATTACTGCATAATATAGAGATGATAATTAAATGTGTTATCCATAATCCACCTAATAAATTAATGTGCCATGACATCAGTGATTAGTATAAGCTAAGAATCGATGATTAGAATAAGCTACGCAACTGCTTTATAGATCATTTCAATAGATATGTATAACAAGTATAAAACGTATAAAAAAACCAAGTTCATTAATAGAAGCACTGTTATCTGTATATGCATGCCACATGTCTATATAAGGAAACAGTGATAACTTGATTATTGTGTAATATTTAGGTTTCATTCATTTACAGCTGCAGAATAATTAATTCACTCAATTGAAAATTAATCTTCATGATAAAACAATAATCCTGACAGAAAATCATAATTTCCATTGACCATTTTCTGGTTCTTTGATCCATAACCATAACCATAACCATAATTTTTTTTTTATCAAACCTGCAAATTAAGAGAAAAGGAAACTGTATTTTCTCTCTTAACCACTTTCTTGTATTTACTTCAATTGTCATGACATCAGTGATTAATATAAGCTAAGAATCGATGACTAGAATAAGCTACGCAACTTCTTAATAGATCATTTCAATATATGTATAACAAGTATAAAATGTATAAAAAACCAAATTCATTAATAGAAGCACTGTTATCTGTATATACATGCCACATGTCTATATAAGGAAACAGTGATAACTTGATTATTGTGTAATATTTAGGTTTCATTCATTTACAGCTGCAGAATAATTAATTTACTCAATTGAAAATTAATCTTCATGATAAAACAATAATCCTGACAGAAAATCATAATTTCCATTGACCATTTTCTGGTTCTTTGATCCATAACCATAACCATAACCATAATTTTTTTTTTTTATCAAACCTGCAAATTAAGAGAAAAGGAAACTGTATTTTCTCTCTTAACCACTTTCTTGTATTTACTTCAATTGATAAGTAAATATAAACTTTAATGAGCAGAGAGAGGCAGTTTCTGATAAAGAAGTGTCCACCCTCCATCAAAGTGAGTTAAGAAATTATCCACTTCTTAAATGTACTAATAAATTTTGGTGCTTCTGTTTTAAACAACTTAATGAATTTAAACAATGAAATTAAGATTACCAAAATCATCAAGATTATCAAAATCTTAGATCAAGTTTACATCAAGATTATCAAAATCTGGTTGATATTTAAACAATTAAATTAAGATTCAATTTCAAAACAAAAATATGCATAGAATAAGGGGCAATATATTCTCAACTAACTTCTGATTCTGATATTGTGAATTCAAATTTTGTCAATCTTAACTCTATAAATCATTATATAAAGAGAAAATGTTAATAACCAGAAACACTACCAGAGAATTACTTTTCTTGAAAATGAAAATCCTTTTCTGTTTACTGATCTTATTTTTTCGGTTTGCTCAAATACTGAGTTCTTTTCACTTCTCTAAAGGATATGATGTTCATGTTGTGAATGGGATACACCTAAGTCCCAATCCATTGAGGATTCATTGTGCTTCCAGAGATGATGATTTAGGATATCATACACTAAGTGAAAATCAAGATTTTCATTGGCACTTTTATGAAGATATACTTCTCAGAACATTATTTTTCTGTCACTTTTGGTGTGGAAAGAGGCAAAAAGCTTTTGTTGTTTTTAAGGATCCCACCGCCTGTCATATTGGTCAAGGGGACGATGATCATAATCAGTGCTATTGGCTTGTAAAAGCAGATGGGTTTTATTTTGCCAAAAAAAATCCCCCTTCTCCCTCTGATTTGAAGAAAAAATATGACTGGGAATTATCCCCTTAGACATTATAATCTTCACATTATACTTAGATTATGAAATAAAAGAACATATAGTTATGTTTAATGTCTGTTGTCTCTCCTCTTGCCCAGTGTAAAATGGGTTATGTAAACAAGTTTTTTATTTCTTTTTTGCTTACCAAATTAGTTCTTTTAAGAAGACCAAAGATGCTTTAGATGTGTTGTCCGGAGCCTGGGCAATCTAAATTAGGTTTATGTCACTATTCAATATATATTGAGCAGTGTTCTAAAAAACGAGCCTAACCACGAGGCTCGGGCCAAACGTCACACCTTGGCAATGAGAGTTAAATGACACTCATTAATTTTATTTATTTATTTATTTATTCTTTCAAAAGACTTTTTATTTGACTTTAGTTTCAAGTTTTTAAATGAATTTACCTCTACAAAAGTTAAAAATGAAAGCATGTTAGACAATTTCAAGTAGGAGTTCTTTAGTTGGAAAACTTGATAATTATAAACCTGACTAATTGCAGAAATTATTAACTAGTGTTTTATAATATTAAATGTTTGGTATGCATTATTTTAACTATTAAATAATTTTTAGAATGATTAAAAATTTAAAATAAAGATAAAAATAAGAAAACACTTTTTATGCCTAGGTTGGTAAAGTTTGAAGTTTGGCCTCCACGTCTAATCACGTTTTACGCTATTAAGAACACTGATATTAAGCGTCACGTGATGTGGATGATTGTTCTCTTAGTAAAACTAATTCAATAATACAAATATTTTCGTTTTTTCGAAACAATATCATCAACGAAATTGAAGGAAATTGTGGAGCCATAGCATATTGATTCAGTGGATTGGTGTAATGTATGGGTGGATGAGAAGACTGGTTCCAAATGATGAAATTGAAGGCATTTTTATCATTATGGATTGCATGTTCATTTATTTTAGACTTGTATGTCGACTAGTATCAGATATATATATATCGCAGTTGGATATAAGAAGACAATTAGTATATAAACGTATTTAAAAATTGACCCGTTAGTCTTCCTTTTGCCTCGAAAAATATTAGATAGTATTAATCCATAATCATCCACAATTTAGTTCTATATTTTTTATTTACATAGTAGATGTAAAATACCACATGCATGATTGTGATGAGACCAAATTCTTTAGTTAAATATCAAGTCCATATTAATAATTCAATATACCTCACTTTCCAGTGTTACAAAGTGAAAAACTAGAGTCCCCCACTGATGTCATTTTGTAGCGTCACTCAAGGCTACTCGATTATTGATATGTTCATCACTATGAAACATTTGGTATTTCTAAAGAGTGGGTCGAACTTAACTAAAATTATGCCTTTTGTCGAGTCATTCAACAAGATGAAATATTATACAAAGATGTAATCGATATATCTAGATGTTCTATTAAGTTTTTTTTAAGTCACTTAAGGTTCTAATAAATCAAATGGGATTCTCACTCATATGAGACCCAACGGGGTTTTATCAATTAATGTAGAGGGTCGTTAATTAAAGTCAAACGGTGAGAGTAAACTAATTTGCTTGAAAATCACATTAAAAATAATCAGAATTAATCTAGTGGATCCCACACCTCACGTGAGAGGGGTGTACACGCTTAGGTACACCCCTATATACCAGTAGCAATACCGAATTAATTATTACATGTTTTCGTGAGCTTGCATAATGCATACTATAATTGATGCTAACAAGTTTACTACACTGAATTCTTTGTATTGCCATGTCATTTGAGAATTATTCTCAAACACGAGATGATCAGGAAGGCTCTTCATAAGACAATTCTGGACTAATAGAAGGATATCGAAAATAAAATTACAACACTTCCCTAACTAAACTGAAGAGTAAGAAGCTAGATAAAGCCTCTACTTCGAAGATTAACTTGTAACTTTCTTTTACCACTTAGGTACTAGATTATTCTCAAACATGAGACAGTCAAGAAGGCTCACAATTATGGACTAATATAGAAGGATATCGAAAATAAAATTACAAGACTTCTCCAACTACACTAAAGAGTGTGAAGCTAGATAAAGCCTCTATTTCGAAGATTAACTCGTAACTTTCTTTAAGCGCTTAGGTATTAGATACCGGATATGAATCGAACTTTTTAACATAAATATGCAAGGGCTAAAAGTCGAGTCCTGCAAATGGAAGTCATTTACCTACTTGCTGCCGAATGGTATGCGCCATGTGAATAAAAAGTTTGCTAAGCTAAAAGGAATACAAATCAACAAGATTTAGCCATGTTTGACCCCCTTTTTCAGAGATAATAAGTTCCCGTTTGGCCCCATTATTTCAAATTTTAATGATTGAAATAATACTTTTTGAAGAACGAGTGATTTAAAGAGAAAATTTTTTCAATTTACATATAATATTAATTTATGTAAAATTCTGAAGTTTAAATAAGAGAGAAAAATAAAATTTAATTTAATAAAAGCCTAATGGAGACTAATTTTTGTAACAGTGATTTATTCTATTTTATTTTATTTATTTATTATTATTTTTTTTTGGGAAGAATGCAAGTTAAAAAGTAATGAAAAATTTTAGATTTACGCGCAAAATAATTGGAAGATTGTAGTTAAAAATGAGCTCGAAGAAAAATGTGATTTTGAAGAATGTAGTCAAACAAGGGCTTAATTAGATTCTAGCAATGTCATCGCTGCCGTAAAGATGCCAAGTAATCAAATAAAGATCTTATGGGCCTTTGAAAAAAGAAAAAAAGAAACCACATTGACGTTTATTAGACTGCGAAAGGAAGATATAAATCGTAAAATCTGAAGAGTCCCATACAAATCAGAGGATTTCATGGGTCCCACATTTTCAAGCAAAATGGACTGTGTTGGAAAAGCAAATTGACAGATTTTTGTAAAGTAGCTTGAATAAGAGTGAACAGATTTTTCAACATCATCTTTATTTAAATAAGAATTCCAGCCAGAGGATAGTGCAATGTCGCAGGAAAGAAACTATGTTACTGCTGAAACCCATTCACCAGAAGAACTTTCGACACTGGACCATCAAATCTTTACCAGACATCGGGACGAAGCTCCCCAGTTGCTGGAGGCATCCACCTTCCAGAGTTGTACACATTTTCACCCACTTTCCAACCAGGCACGTCTTTCATGATTCTGGCCTCTTCCTCGAGATACTTCTTCCATTCTTTGACAAATCTAGAAGAAACGAGAGCAAAAAAAGAAGAAAAATAGAATAAGTGCTACTTCCTTGTGGGAAAAGAAACTGATTTAAATAATCAAGACTAGTAATAGGACACTACAGAAAATACATCACCTTTCATCCTCTTCGGCTTGAAGCAATGGCAATATTGCCCTGCGGGCAGCATATTTTTCTTCCTTGAGCGCCCTGTACAACAAAAAAAACCATCAACTTCCACTTTACATATATTACTCATATAACTACTCCAGGCATTATTTGGGGATCCTCTCCTTATAAAGTAACAGCAGCATTTAACTTGCTACCAAAGTGCAACTAAAAATAAACTTATGAAGATAAGAAAAAGGATACTATGTACATAGGCATCTGCAAATACCATATACTATTTGTCATTTATTAGAATATTGTGAATGAAATGGAGAAATGTACTTTATGTTCTCCAAAGAAATGTGGCAATAGAACCACCTGGTATATGACAAAGACCAACAACATTCCTTTTATGGAGCTTATATTTTGCCAAACCAAAATAAGTTGATTTCATAAATCTCAGGTTCATCTCGACTTTCTTAATGCGTGATAAAAGTTATATGATCCATTTCCAATAGACCGCAATGTTTTAATGATTCGTAGGATCACATTTATTTTCCTGCTGTATCTCAAGAAAATTAGCAAAAGATATAAATAAGGTGTTACATGACTTGATAATTTGTCAGAAATCTGAACTGCTTTTGCATGGAAAAAAAAATATATAAAATTTGTTTAATATTATTCCCAACTACATTTCGGTTTGCCATTCCATTTAATAATATGTGCATTGCTTGGAACATTATAATTTCCCTATAATTTAGTGGTCAAAGTCAAAAATTTCAACCAAACATTTCATAGAACCCAAAGCAAATACCTACTTATCCACCACTCATTTCTATCACATTAATAGCTTATAGTTTTATCCTAAGTGCTTGTTTGGGTTCCAATACAAGCTCCTTATAATTTAAAAATCAAAATCAAACTTTAATTTTTAACCATACATTTCATAGAACTCATAACTTCTACTCCATTAATATACCACTCATTTCTATCACATTATATTTTAGCAACTTATAATGATACCCAAACAGGCACTTAGTCTCATATCCTTATGGACTTCAACCCTTTGATGCTCGGACTCTTCGAAATATTTAAAGTACTCGTGTCGGACATGACACAACATGGGTATAGGATATATATCGGATCCTCCAAGTTTTAATCGGATACTTTGTCGTTTTTGCTTCTTTCTTCTTTCTTTTTCTTTCTCGTTTCCGCTCTCTATACTCCTAGTGTCGCCACCAAGAGGGTGGACAAAGGTAGCAACACTAAGTTTTCCCTTCTTCTTTCTTTTCTCTTTCCTTTTTTTTTCATTTTTCCCCCTTCTATCCTTTTGTATATCGGTAGTTTAGGGTTTTGTTTGTATAAAATAAAGGGAAGCGTTCCTCCTACACATGAATTTGACAAGTATTTTTGACAAAATAATCGTGACCTTTAGATGAAGCAAATCTAACGGTCAACATGTATTTCACTAGGATCATGGGAGAGCTAGTTATAAACACTTGAGATCTATGAGATACTAACTGTTGGATTTGCTTCATCTAAAGGTGTCAAGGACCGCAGCTTTACTTAGCCCCTTGACACTATCGCAGCCGCAGTTTGCCCAACTTCGGCCGCACATTGTAAATATTACTTCAAGTTTGAGTTGTAATTTTCGTTTCATTGTAATAGTTATTTTAATTGTAAAATAGCTCTGATATTGGTAAAAGATTAGTATGATTCCTCGGCTTTTAAACGTCTACTCCCGTCACTTGGGTTTTTGTTCAGAATGCTATTATAGGGGGTATTAGTCATTCAAAAATCTTTCAAGCTCACTGGTGTCCGCCCCCTGCACCAGCATTTGTAATTTTCTGCTTTCATCAATTGTAATGTTCAGTTTTCAGCAATCAATGTTCAATTTACTTTCAATGTATTCAAATTCTCAATTGTAAGCTTTCTACAAAATTGCAATCAAATTTTCTTTCGTCCCGACGCGACGGACTTGACAAAGTCTGCCAGGTTGAGGCCAAGTATCCTGCTTTGCTTTTTAAGCAGCAGCTGACTGCTTACGTTGAGAAGATCTATGGTATCATTCGAGATAATTCAAAAAAGGACTTGTCATCACTTCTTTCTTCATGTATCCAGGTAGCACTTCCTCGTTTCTAAATTAAATCTTTAATGATCTGTTGTGGTTCTGTATGACGTAGCCTTTTATGTTTTCTTGTCTTTCGTATTTAGATTTTGTATTTTGTGTTTCAGGACTTAAGGAATAAATCATGTAAAATGTTTTTGTATTAGTTGCATTTCAGTAGAGGTTTAGAAGATAAATCACCCTTCAAAGAACTACTTCCCTCCGTCCCATTTATATAAGCTTGTTTTGTTTTTCACACGGATTAAGAACTCTTATTTAATGTTATTAAAAGTTTTTTTGCCAATAACTTGCCTAGTTTACCCTTGTTTATATTTGTACAATTTCAAGATTAAGGGAAAAAATTGGTTATAACTAGACAAATTAAATAAGGGTGTATTAGTAAACGAAAAAAAAAACAAGCTTAATAAAGAAACATGACTATATAATCAGGACAAGAAAATAAGGAAAGTAAGCCTATATAAATGGGATGGAGGGAGTATTTATTTCGAAGCCAATATTTCTAACTATTACCAAAAATGGAAATTTCCTCTCCAGTTCTTTTACTGTTTCTTTTATCAGTAACTTCCAATTTTTTCATTGTTTATACCATATTCAAGAGTTTTGAACTTCATATCTAATGTTTTATATATGGTACTTAATATTTATCTTCCTAACAATTCAGACACCAGGAACGACTACAGAAACAATTCAGGTGCCCAGAACGCCTACAGAAACATTTCAGGCTCCTGGAACGTCAACAGAAACAATTCAAGCACCCGGAACGTCAACAGAAAATTCTTTGCGATCATCTGGTATATCCTTCGACAGTAGATATCCTACCAATGACTGGAAAAGCATCATTGAGAGCCTAAAGGGGACTCTGAGTACTCTGCAAGACAATTTTGTAAGCAATACTAACTATATTAATACCTTGGAAGTTCTATCCACTCCAATCTTACAATGCTTGTTTCAGGTGCCTCCCGTCCTTGTTCAGAGAATATTCACGCAGATCTTTTCTTATATTGACGTCCAGCTTTTTAATAGGTAGCTCTTGTAAAAGCCCTGATATTTTCTTTTTATAATATTACCAGATTTATTTGTGTGGTGTAACATTGTTGCATTTTTCTCAGCCTTCTCCTTCGTAGAGAGTGCTGCACATTTAGCAATGGTGAATATGTAAAAGCAGGTTTAGATGAATTAGAACTTTGGTGTGGACATGCAAAAGAAAAGGTAGACTTTTGGTTTTAGCTGGTTATTGCCATGCATCTATTCCTTTATATTTTTATAGCATTGGTTGTATAAGTTTATGCATTTGGATTACTCATGCTGCAAATTGTAGATTGTCTAACTATGAATCTTGTTTCAGTATGTGGGCTCATCTTGGGATGAATTAAAACATGTACGGCAGGCTGTAGGGTTTCTGGTATGTTTCTTGTTCTCTTGCTGGCAAATAATTTTAAATCACCAGTATTTACTGCAATTTATTGGACATCTGTGATGATTTATCATCAATTGAACTGAAATTGACACATGTTGAACATTGCTGAAGTCTACTTATACTTTTCACTCATGTTGACGAGAATTATACAGCCTGTAGTTTGACTCAAAATCTTACCTCATCTGCAGGTCATACACCAAAAGTTACGAATAACCTATGAAGATCTTACTTCTGACTTGTGCCCTGTAAGCCTGTCCATCTTTGTGTAATATTTTCCTTCTTTTCTTGATTGTCTCATTTTCTTATGTTTCTTCTCTTTACCTGATTCTTTCATCATGTTCCATTCACTCCCTGATAGAGAATAGAATTAGTGCAATTTTTTCTCATCACTTTGAATTCAAAGTAGTGATGAATTCTAGCACTGATAGAAGTACTATTCCTTAACTCAATGCAAGAATAATTCACAGAATTTCTGTAATTTTCTATTTTACTGATATTTTATTATCTTTTGATATTCCCAGATGCTAACAATTCAACAGCTTTATAGAATTTGTACTCTCTACAGGGATGACAATTTTAATACTAGCAGTGTATCTCCAGACGTAAGTTTCCGTTCTTCCAACTGCAAATATGAATTCAAAATTGTATCTCGATTTTCTCCTATATCCCTACATTGGATTTCTACAGATAATCTCTAGCATGAAGAATATCATGATGTTGGACTCTCATGATGCCGATAGCAACTCCTTTTTGTTGGATGATAACTCAAGGTATCGTTGTAAGAGATTTTTTTTCTCGACTCATAAAATTATGTTCATATATTGATTATCTTGTTTTTGCTGCTGCAGCATCCCTTTCTCGGTCGACGATATTAGCAGTTCTCTCCAGGATTCTGATTTTACTGGTGTGAAAGCAGCAGCAGAACTACTTAAACGTCCATCCTTTCAATTTTTACAGGGATAAGGCTCTTCTTTTCTCTAGTCGGGTCAATCCCATAATGCAAATTCACTCCACTATTTGCTAGATAGATTTCTCCATAAATATATCATCGACACTGACCCGGATGTATTACTCGATTAGATTGTAAAATTCATAGGTTTAGTCAAATAGATAGAACGGACAGATGAATATTTTCGACATAGTAGTCCTTCCTCTTGGAGCATTCTTTATAGCAACTAATGACTGAAATAATCTTTGGGAAGCAGTTGTTTCTAGCCTCCCAAATTTCAGTTGTATAAACAAAAATATCTTGTCTCAATAGTAAAAATGTGAATGTTTGGGTTATGCATTTATTAAGTGTAAGATAATCGATTTGATTTGATTTTCTTTTTTAATTGCTGCCTACACTTTGGTTTTCAGTTTGCAGATTTTCTGAACATAAATATTTTCCTTTTATACTTATTCATACTTCAATTTGAGCTGTTGCTTTGGAAGCTGGTTTGTGTATCTGGAGGTGTTGAACTTAGGTTGTGGTGATAAAGTAGATTGGGCTATTGAAGCTTAGGGCACTTTTGGACGTACACTAAGACAAGATCAGTGTTCTAAAAAAGCGCTTAGATGAGAGGCATAGACAAAACGCTTTGCCTCGATAATAAGTGCGAATTAAACGGTCAATTGTTAAGTTGACTGCTTAATGTGCGCCTAGAAGTTCTTTATTATCTTCGTCTTCTTTTTTTTTGTAAAAAATATTTTATTTGATTTTAGTTTATTAACTTTTATTATTATTATTTTTTCTTTTTTTTTTTTCGTTAAAAGGTTTCTATTTGATTTTAGTTTCAAGTTTTTAAATTGTTATATATGTACAAAAATAAAAAATGACTTTATTCGATAAAGATTTAGATAAGATTTATCTATATTATGTAATTATGATTTTGAAAATTTGTTTTGCTAGAAACTTTGAAAGTATGAAAGAAATTCCTATAAACCTGTCTAGTAGGATTTGTTTCATTGAAAGTTGAAAAATATGAAAAGTAGTCTAACTTACACATTTTGAAATTTTGAATTGACTAATTTTAGAAATTATAAAGTAAATGTAGTATTTCATAATTTTAGATATTTGGTATATATTATTTTAATTATTAAATAAATTTTAAAATGATTAAGTATTTAAAATAATAATAAAAACGAACTACCAATATTTAATGTAGGGGTATATTAAAAAAAGGAAGTAAAATTTATAGTTCTAACTATAATAATTAAGTTTTTTAATTTATGTGAAAAGGGCAAAAGGAGAATAATGAAAAACTTAAAAAATTAATAGTTTTAATGTAACACTATTCATTACATCAAATTGCTGGGAAGTTTTAATGTACCATTGGAGATATCCTATTAACCCAAAGCTAAACAATATTGATTTGCCATTTTTTTATTTTTTAACTCAAACCCAAAAAAGAGCAGATCAACATACACCGGTACTAATATTGTGCATGAAACTAACATATAGAAAAATAAATTCAATTGGAAAATATGATAGCTTGATTTTACGATTACGTCATTCATTGTCTGTAATGATACAATTGTGGTTTTACTTGATTTTGTTACGACGGAGAATGTGGTCTCTCCTCATGGCATTCGACTATTTCTTCTGCCGTGTCTTGTTCCAATTCTTCCTAATGGTTGTGTTGAACAAGAAAATCTAGAGTTCCGAGTTATGCTTTTTGAGAAATTTACCATTGATATGACCTTCGGCTATAACCATTTCACAGGCACTCAAAAATAATTTGTGCTCCTTATCGTCCCATTTGACCTTTTTCCTTAATTTTAATTATCATCCTCAGAAATAATAAAGCATTTTCAACATATCTCCACTTTTCTGAAAATATTTTCCAGCTTCTAAATTATGGGAATACTCCTCTCTCTTAAGAAAATGATTAAAAAACTATTCTGTCGAAATTAATTTAATATTTCGACTTCTTTGTGTTGTCTCATGTGAATTTGGGTAGAAGACTCATTTATCTTTAGTAATCCTTACAAAATATCCTTCTAGACTTCATTTGGTATTTTTTTCCATCACCTTGATTCTTAAGCATTATCTCCTCTTGCACAAGCATATTATGCAATTCACGTATTGAGGTTTATTTGTAATTGACCATACTTAGAAGGTGAAGAGTAATTGATAAATTATTCCACGAAATTCTCATCCATAGTCATCCTTGGAGTCTTAAGTCTTGATATAATATTAGACATCTTAATGACATGCTCGTGTACAGTGTGGGAACCATCAAAATTCATGACGGTTAAAGTAGCCATTATTAGTGTTGTAGCAAGTGACTTATCATCATTTTTGAAATGCTCTTCAACAAACTTCATAATTTCCTTAAGCAATTTTCAGTTCTGAGAATAGTAGACTTATATCCTTCTCTAAGGTGAGTTGCATGAACATTAGACCTTGGAATTGGATTTGTTCATCCTAATTAGAGAAATTAAGCCCATTGAACAATGAAACGTAAGAAGCATGTGAATGTGCGGAAACAAGAACAAACACTACGAAATATCAAAATATAAAATGGTAGTACATTAATGCTTTGGACAATTTTAACAATTTTATAATCTATAAACGTCAATGTACTCACAACAATATATAGTATTGATTATGTCATTTTCTTTTATAAGCATCAATCTATCATGAGCAACTGACGTAAAATATGTAATTAAATGGTCATAGTACCATAGGATTTGGCCACTTTGATCACTAACAAACAACATTAATTGAACATTAAATTATGCAACTTTAATTTACATAAAGAAACATTTATACAAATAGTTCATAAAAGCTTTAAAATGAATCAGCAATATTAGTTTATCAATTACTGCATAATATAGAGATGATAATTAAATGTGTTATCCATAATCCACCTAATAAATTAATGTGCCATGACATCAGTGATTAGTATAAGCTAAGAATCGATGATTAGAATAAGCTACGCAACTGCTTTATAGATCATTTCAATAGATATGTATAACAAGTATAAAACGTATAAAAAAACCAAGTTCATTAATAGAAGCACTGTTATCTGTATATGCATGCCACATGTCTATATAAGGAAACAGTGATAACTTGATTATTGTGTAATATTTAGGTTTCATTCATTTACAGCTGCAGAATAATTAATTTACTCAATTGAAAATTAATCTTCATGATAAAACAATAATCCTGAGACAAAATCATAATATTTCCATTGACTTTTCTGGTTTTTTGATCCATAACCATAACCATAACCATAATTTTTTTTTTTTATCAAACCTGCAAATTAAGAGAAAAGGAAACTGTATTTTCTCTCTTAACCACTTTCTTGTATTTACTTCAATTGATAAGTAAATATAAACTTTAATGAGCAGAGAGAGGCAGTTTCTGATAAAGAAGTGTCCACCCTCCATCAAAGTGAGTTAAGAAATTATCCACTTCTTAAATGTACTAATAAATTTTGGTGCTTCTGTTTTAAACAACTTAATGAATTTAAACAATGAAATTAAGATTACCAAAATCATCAAGATTATCAAAATCTTAGATCAAGTTTACATCAAGATTATCAAAATCTGGTTGATATTTAAACAATTAAATTAAGATTCAATTTCAAAACAAAAATATGCATAGAATAAGGGGCAATATATTCTCAACTAACTTCTGATTCTGATATTGTGAATTCAAATTTTGTCAATCTTAACTCTATAAATCATTATATAAAGAGAAAATGTTAATAACCAGAAACACTACCAGAGAATTACTTTTCTTGAAAATGAAAATCCTTTTCTGTTTACTGATCTTATTTTTTCGGTTTGCTCAAATACTGAGTTCTTTTCACTTCTCTAAAGGATATGATGTTCATGTTGTGAATGGGATACACCTAAGTCCCAATCCATTGAGGATTCATTGTGCTTCCAGAGATGATGATTTAGGATATCATACACTAAGTGAAAATCAAGATTTTCATTGGCACTTTTATGAAGATATACTTCTCAGAACATTATTTTTCTGTCACTTTTGGTGTGGAAAGAGGCAAAAAGCTTTTGTTGTTTTTAAGGATCCCACCGCCTGTCATATTGGTCAAGGGGACGATGATCATAATCAGTGCTATTGGCTTGTAAAAGCAGATGGGTTTTATTTTGCCAAAAAAAATCCCCCTTCTCCCTCTGATTTGAAGAAAAAATATGACTGGGAATTATCCCCTTAGACATTATAATCTTCACATTATACTTAGATTATGAAATAAAAGAACATATAGTTATGTTTAATGTCTGTTGTCTCTCCTCTTGCCCAGTGTAAAATGGGTTATGTAAACAAATTTTTTATTTCTTTTTTGCTTACCAAATTAGTTCTTTTAAGAAGACCAAAGATGCTTTAGATGTGTTGTCCGGAGCCTGGGCAGTCTAAATTAGGTTTATGTCACTATTCAATATATATTGAGCAGTGTTCTAAAAAACGAGCCTAACCACGAGGCTCGGGCCAAACGTCACACCTTGGCAATGAGAGTTTAATGACACTCATTAATTTTATTTATTTATTTATTCTTTCAAAAGCCTTTTTATTTGACTTTAGTTTCAAGTTTTTAAATGAATTTACCTCTACAAAAGTTAAAAATGAAAGCATGTTAGAAAATTTCAAGTAGGAGTTCTTTAGTTGGAAAACTTGATAATTATAAACCTGACTAATTGTAGAAATTATTAACTAGTGTTTTATAATTTTAGATGTTTGGTATGCATTATTTTAACTATTAAATAATTTTTAGAATGATTAAAAATTTAAAATAAAGATAAAAATAAGAAAACACTTTTTATGCCTAGGTCGGTAAAGTTTGAAGTTTGGTCTCCACGTCTAATCACGCTTTATGCTATTAAGAACACTGATATTAAGCGTCACGTGATGTGGATGATTGTTCTCTTACTAAAACTAATTCAATAATACAAATATTTTCGTTTTTTCGAAACAATATCATCAACGAAATTGAAGGAAATTGTGGAGCCATAGCATATTGATTCAGTGGATTGGTGTAATGTATGGGTGGATGAGAAGACTGGTTCCAAATGATGAAATTGAAGGCATTTTTATCATTATGGATTGCATGTTCATTTATTTTAGACTTGTATGTCGACTAGTATCAGATATATATATATCGCAGTTGGATATAAGAAGACAATTAGTATATAAACGTATTTAAAAATTGACCCGTTAGTCTTCCTTTTGCCTCGAAAAATATTAGATAGTATTAATCCATAATCATCCACAATTTAGTTCTATATTTTTTATTTACATAGTAGATGTAAAATACCACATGCATGATTGTGATGAGACCAAATTCTTTAGTTAAATATCAAGTCCATATTAATAATTCAATATACCTCACTTTCCAGTGTTACAAAGTGAAAAACTAGAGTCCCCCACTGATGTCATTTTGTAGCGTCACTCAAGGCTACTCGATTATTGATATGTTCATCACTATGAAACATTTGGTATTTCTAAAGAGTGGGTCGAACTTAACTAAAATTATGCCTTTTGTCGAGTCATTCAACAAGATGAAATATTATACAAAGATGTAATCGATATATCTAGATGTTCTATTAAGTTTTTTTTAAGTCACTTAAGGTTCTAATAAATCAAATGGGATTCTCACTCATATGAGACCCAACGGGGTTTTATCAATTAATGTAGAGGGTCGTTAATTAAAGTCAAACGGTGAGAGTAAACTAATTTGCTTGAAAATCACATTAAAAATAATCAGAATTAATCTAGTGGATCCCACACCTCACGTGAGAGGGGTGTACACGCTTAGGTACACCCCTATATACCAGTAGCAATACCGAATTAATTATTACATGTTTTCGTGAGCTTGCATAATGCATACTATAATTGATGCTAACAAGTTTACTACACTGAATTCTTTGTATTGCCATGTCATTTGAGAATTATTCTCAAACACGAGATGATCAGGAAGGCTCTTCATAAGACAATTCTGGACTAATAGAAGGATATCGAAAATAAAATTACAACACTTCCCTAACTAAACTGAAGAGTAAGAAGCTAGATAAAGCCTCTACTTCGAAGATTAACTCGTAACTTTCTTTTACCACTTAGGTATTAGATTATTCTCAAACATGAGACAGTCAAGAAGGCTCACAATTATGGACTAATATAGAAGGATATCGAAAATAAAATTACAAGACTTCTCCAACTACACTAAAGAGTGTGAAGCTAGATAAAGCCTCTATTTCGAAGATTAACTCGTAACTTTCTTTAAGCGCTTAGGTATTAGATACCGGATATGAATCGAACTTTTTAACATAAATATGCAAGGGCTAAAAGTCGAGTCCTGCAAATGGAAGTCATTTACCTACTTGCTGCCGAATGGTATGCGCCATGTGAATAAAAAGTTTGCTAAGCTAAAAGGAATACAAATCAACAAGATTTAGCCATGTTTGACCCCCTTTTTCAGAGATAATAAGTTCCCGTTTGGCCCCATTATTTCAAATTTTAATGATTGAAATAATACTTTTTGAAGAACGAGTGATTTAAAGAGAAAATTTTTTCAATTTACATATAATATTAATTTATGTAAAATTCTGAAGTTTAAATAAGAGAGAAAAATAAAATTTAATTTAATAAAAGCCTAATGGAGACTAATTTTTGTAACAGTGATTTATTCTATTTTATTTTATTTATTTATTATTATTTTTTTTTGGGAAGAATGCAAGTTAAAAAGTAATGAAAAATTTTAGATTTACGCGCAAAATAATTGGAAGATTGTAGTTAAAAATGAGCTCGAAGAAAAATGTGATTTTGAAGAATGTAGTCAAACAAGGGCTTAATTAGATTCTAGCAATGTCATCGCTGCCGTAAAGATGCCAAGTAATCAAATAAAGATCTTATGGGCCTTTGAAAAAAGAAAAAAAGAAACCACATGGACGTTTATTAGACTGCGAAAGGAAGATATAAATCGTAAAATCTGAAGAGTCCCATACAAATCAGAGGATTTCATGGGTCCCACATTTTCAAGCAAAATGGACCGTGTTGGAAAAGCAAATTGACAGATTTTTGTAAAGTAGCTTGAATAAGAGTGAACAGATTTTTTAACATCATTTTTATTTAAATGAGAATTCCAGCCAGAGGATAGTGCAATGTCGCAGGAAAGAAACTATGTTACTGCTGAAACCCATTCACCAGAAGAACTTTCGACACTGGACCATCAAATCTTTACCAGACATCGGGACGAAGCTCCCCAGTTGCTGGAGGCATCCACCTTCCAGAGTTGTACACATTTTCACCCACTTTCCAACCAGGCACGTCTTTCATGATTCTGGCCTCTTCCTCGAGATACTTCTTCCATTCTTTGACAAATCTAGAAGAAACGAGAGCAAAAAAAGAAGAAAAATAGAATAAGTGCTACTTCCTTGTGGGAAAAGAAACTGATTTAAATAATCAAGACTAGTAATAGGACACTACAGAAAATACATCACCTTTCATCCTCTTCGGCTTGAAGCAATGGCAATATTGCCCTGCGGGCAGCATATTTTTCTTCCTTGAGCGCCCTGTACAACAAAAAAACCATCAACAACTTCCACTTTACATATATTACTCATATAACTACTCCAGGCATTATTTGGGGATCCTCTCCTTATAAAGTAACAGCAGCATTTAACTTGCTACCAAAGTGCAACTAAAAATAAACTTATGAAGATAAGAAAAAGGATACTATGTACATAGGCATCTGCAAATACCATATACTATTTGTCATTTATTAGAATATTGTGAATGAAATGGAGAAATGTACTTTATGTTCTCCAAAGAAATGTGGCAATAGAACCACCTGGTATATGACAAAGACCAACAACATTCCTTTTATGGAGCTTATATTTTGCCAAACCAAAATAAGTTGATTTCATAAATCTCAGGTTCATCTCGACTTTCTTAATGCGTGATAAAAGTTATATGTTTGTAGGATCACATTTATTTTCCTGCTGTATCTCAAGAAAATTAGCAAAAGATATAAATAAGGTGTTAGATGACTTGATAATTTGTCAGAAATCTGAACTGCTTTTGCATGGAAAAAAAATATATATATAAAATTTGTTTAATATTATTCCCAACTGCATTTTGGTTTGCCATTCCATATCATAATATGTGCATGCTTGGAACATTATAATTTCCCTATAATTTAGTGGTCGAAGTCAAACATTTTAACCAAACATTTCGTAGAACCCAAAGCCAATACCTACTTATCCACCACTCATTTCTATCACATTAATAGCTTATAGTTTTATCCTAAGTGCTTGTTTGGGTTCCAATACAAGCTCCTTATAATTTAAAAATCAAAATCAAACTTTAATTTTTAACCATACATTTCATAGAACTCATAACTTCTACTCCATTAATATACCACTCATTTCTATCACATTATATTTTAGCAACTTATAATGATACCCAAACAGGCACTTAGTCTCATATCCTTATGGACTTCAACCCTTTGATGCTCGGACTCTTCGAAATATTTAAAGTACTCGTGTCGGACATGACACAACATGGGTATAGGATATATATCGGATCCTCCAAGTTTTAATCGGATACTTTGTCGTTTTTGCTTCTTTCTTCTTTCTTTTTCTTTCATTTTCTTCTTTCTCATTTCCGCTCTCTATACTCCTAGTGTCGCCACCAAGAGGGTGGACAAAGGTAGCAACACTAAGTTTTCCCTTCTTCTTTCTTTTCTCTTTCCTTTTTTTTTCATTTTTCCCCCTTCTATCCTTTTGTATATCGGTAGTTTAGGGTTTTGTTTGTATAAAATGAAGGGGAGTGTGCCTCCTACATATGGATTTGACAAGTATTTTTGACAAAATAATCGTGACCTTTAGATGAAACAAATCTAACAGTCAGCATATATTTCACTAGGATCATAGGAGAGCTAGTTATAAACACTTGAGATCTATGAGCTACTAACTGTAGGATTTGTTTTATCTAAAGGTCAAGATTATTTGTCAAAAATACTTATTAAATCTATGTGTAGGAAGAACGCTTCCCTAAAATGAAAATGGTTCTATATAGTGCTACTTAGTTCTTAACTAAGTCCAAATTGCAATCAAGTTCATTATTTGCTATTTTATATAACATTTAGTAATGTCCATAATTGAAAACTAAACCCCAAAATTTTATTTTATTCGTTTTAACTCCTTATTCAATACCCATTTTCTTTTTTGTGAATAATTGATTTTAGTTTATTCAAATTGACATCTTAGATTAATAAACAAATTGAAGTTTGAAAGACGCACTCACGTATCTGTGTCTGAAATTTGGAATCTTTTTAACCATGTCCCCGTATCTTACATTTTAGAAAATAAAAGATCCGATACTTAAATACGTACCCAAACCCGATATCTGAGTCCGAACATCATAGCTTCAACCAACCATGGCATGAATCCTATATCTGGATAACTACATTGTATAAGACCATTAAAGGAGTTATTTCAGATGTCCTAGAGAAGCAACCGAAAGAGCCAGCACAGCAAATTGCAGGGGTATATATGTGACAACCACCTAATATTTCATTTCACATATTGTTTGAAAAGGTCAAGGTTTAGACTTATTTTTTGTCTTATTTAAAGCCTAACTTTGAATTCAGTTCCTATTACATATGGGCATAATTAACATCTCATAAATCCTTTTTACAATTTTGTTAAACATAACTACATGAGACCTATCAGCGAGCAAAAGCATGCTTTGTAACTGCAAATAATATTGGCTGTTTTTTCACGTTTGAAGATTTGGAAAGACTTTTTCCACTTAAAATCTGCAATGCCTAACTAGTCATAGTCTCGCTATAATCAAAACTTATTTAACACCGTAGATAAGCATTTCCAGTATTATTTAACACAGAGTTTCCTATCTAACTACTCTTCGTCACCCAATACAAATAAGGTCATATCAAGTGTTTGACATGCACTGAACTTATAATTGTATTTTCCATCAGTTTCTCTCATTAAAATAAGGTTGGAGTAGTTTACTTTAGAATGGAGACGAAGTAATACATTAACAACATATAATGGATGTGAGCTTAAAGAGTCTGGCTCTTGAATGTGAGGGAGGCTAAGAAGAAGGTGAAGATGAGAAAGTCAGGATGATGGGTGTTTCAAGGATGACATATTTTGTTAGATCTTAAAGAACAAAAAGATATAAGACAAATAGGGCAAGTGTCGTAGTGCCTCTTTGTGAGAATAAAAAGAGATGCTTTAAATAGCTCAAATGACAAAAGGTATTAAACGAGACACATCCAAGACAAGGTCCTTGGTATATGCCCTTCAATGATGCTATAGTTTTAGTTGATGAAAATGGAAGAGATAACTTTAGTGCCTATTTGTCCCCTTTTAAGATTTTAAATTGTTGGCTACAGTATCATTCTCCACCACACATTCACACAATAAAATATTCTACACACAAACCAATAAAATTTCTTTATTTTTTAACCACACATTCTCCAAAATTTACTATTTATAACTATTTAATTTCCCAAATAATGGGTGAAAAACCCGGGATTAATATCGAACTCTGATAAGAACTTTAGAATCTAAAGGTTATAGGTCAAAGTTGAAGTGAGATAAAATATGCATTATATTCTTATACAAGGTATCGTAAGAGTCCTACATAACTTCATAGATGAGAACAATTAAAATGTAAAACTTCAGAGAGAGCAAACAACCAAACAAAATGTCAGTGTAGTAATTCACAAATATTATAAAATATTTCCAGGAACTGATTTAATGCTGCAACTTTATAATCCAGCAATAATGAATGCATTGATTAACTTATCAAAGATTATTTTCAGCAATTCATTAAGTGAATAAAAGTTGTGTATGCCTCAAATCAGTACTTCAGAGATTAGGCATGGGCATTTAAAAATTGTGGTAGTTTTGGATGGTCAGACTCCCTCCCAAATCCAAAATAACCCAACCATCACACCACCACCCATCTACAACCCAACTACCTATCCCGATCGGTGCCCGCAACGGCCAACAATCCAACCAACCCCAAAACACTGACCTCACGCCACAAATAATCCCATACAGCCTATACAAACACCCATAGGCGGCGGCCCTAGATGGAAACCCTAGCATAGCCGCTTGTAACACATCCATCGGCGTGCCACTCTGGGGATAGGTGGACGATGTAAGCACTGGCAAACCAGGTGGCAGGAAAGGAGAACTCGGTAGAGGCATGAGAAGACCTGGGATCCCAACACTGATCTCTCACAATCCGGCCATATTTTTGATAGACGTGCCCAACCAGCAGCCTCTGCAGGCCATTCCGACGGTGGTCGACCAGTTGTCCAGTAAACGCGCCTCTTCGACGGCACATGCAAGCTATGTGCCGACTCCAGCGATGCTGCAGATTCCTCATGACGATCCCCGATTACTCCGCTTGTCTACTATCCTATCAAACATGCCTTTTAGAAACAATCAGGAGAAAAAGGTGGCGGATGCATGTATAATGGTTTTCAAACATCACTTCCGAGTGGAGGCAAAGGAATTTGTAGTATTTGTGAACGATTCTGGTATTGTTAGGATGACAGAATGGGGCTCGAATTTATCGGATGTAATTCATATGGGGGAGATTTGGTGCACTTTGGATGATGAATATAGTGGATAGATTGAGGACTAGTAAATTGGAGGACTTTGTCTCTAAATTCAATGAGTCCTCTAGAGCTTTGTTGGCACAACGTTGTATGAACCATCATGGTAGATACTTGATGATAGCACAATATGGAGAGAGGCGTCGGAAAGAAGTGGTCATGGTGCCGGAAGGTGCGAATGGAGAGAGATGGGCAACAATCTCGCAAGTGTTTCAAACAGTTGTTGATTCATTTGTTGCTAGGGATAAGGCCAAACGTCGAATGGTGGATGAACGAAATAGACAGAGGTCGACTTATGCAGAAGTTAAGCAAATCAAGCTAATCAGTGAGTATCCAAGATTTTAGATGCAAATGATGAAGGCTCACATGACAATTGTTTGAATAGGGCTGAAATAATGGCCTATGTCTACGAATTGAATGGGGCATTGGATAAATTAATTAGACTATTGGGAAGTAGGTCTAAAACGGGCTCCAAGATGTTATGTTGTAGCAAATGTGGAGTGGTCGTGGATGAGCATCCAGCTGCTGGAAAACTAGTGAACTTGATGTGTAAAGAGTCATCATCGAATGCAAACTATACTAAGGAAAAGTAGGAAATGATCGAGCCCATATGTGAATCTCAGGAAAGATTAGAAGCGGAGTATTCCAAAAATGATGAGGAGGTCGACTTGGAGAGAGATGATATTGACTCGGGGATCGAAATAGACCAGGAGGTGGTACCTTTGTCTAAAGAAACAGAGGCGAGTAAGGAGAATTTGGAGATGGTGAAAACGGGTGCGATGGACGTAATTCCACTAGCTAATGGATTATTGTTAGTTGAACAAGGGACGAGACATGTATTAGCAGAGGGTTCAGGTTCGGTAGTTGTGGAAAAACAAGATGTGACATGTTCAACAGGGGTTATGAACACCTATA